GAGTATGTCAAACGTTATTATTAAGACTCATCGATAATAATATGTGGAATTGTGTCGTTTAAGACTCATAGATAACAATATAATTTAAATAAAGTAGATACAAGCTTTCGTAAATATATTAAAAAATGAACTATATAAGCAATGGTAAGAGAACTTGAGAGGGAAAAAAGGACTTGAAAAAGGCAAGTGAAAAATAAATGAATTTAAAATGAGAAAATAAGGCTGGATGTGGATATGATTGTATCATATGTATTTGTACTTAAGAAGGTATTTCATATACATTGGTACTAAATAATAAGTGCCTTAAGTTGATGTTTCCATGCTCAAAACATTTGATAGGATCACATAGGAAAAAAATATGGTAATAAGATCTGATACACTTTGTGAACCGTCTTTGTCTTTCACCGATCACATCAAATCCTATCATGCATATTTTGGCATTTAGGGGACCGATGAACAAAGGCATAGAGTTTCTAAGAAAAAAATAGCTTATGAGACATTAATGAGAAGGAACATACCGAGAGTGAAATCCTATCATAACAAGGATGCTACTACGAAAATCTCTACCTCTTCCTAAATATAAAGTGTAAAAATGGTGACGAAGTTCAGGAGAAAATACAGGACAACAATCTACCCTATGAGATTCAACTAAGCGTTACTGATTGCGTTTCGCATCGGATGCCTTTTTGTTCTCGCTAGAAAATCTTTCGCTAACTTCCCCGAGCTCTTTGATCTTCTGCTTCTTCTCAAGCACTTGGTGTTCAAACTCAAATAGAGAATCATCCCTTTATCTCAAGAGCTGCATAGCGCGTTCTTTAGCCATAGGGTGGAGAGACTGATTACGGCGATCCTGCTATTTTTTGAAAAGGCTTTCAACCTTTACCAAACGCATCCAATAGGGCAGCGTGGCTATATCGCCAGTCAAGTTCTGCATCAGATGCAGAAGAGGTTCCAACACCGCATTAATCCAAGCAAAATCCCCGCCATGATCCAATACATGAGTAGGAGATTCCTTTAGAATGGTGAGGAAATTATTCCGGACCATCGACACTCCAAATTCTTTTGAAAAGTCAAAAGAAGAAGAGGGTGTAACATGGGAATGCACCACTTTAGATTGGCCAGTAGACGTAACCGTTACTTCTGTATAAATAGGTAACGAGGTGAACATAGTGGTTGCTGCAATGGTTGCAGAAGCAGCGGTGACAGTTGCAGGAGTCACAGAGAACACACTTAACGCTAGAGTTAGAATCTTCGTTGAAGCGATAGAGCTGTCAGGTACAACACCTGTAGTCGTTTCAGCCTCGACTCTGGAAGCTACATCCAAAGCGACTTTGGTTTCAACAGTTGTTTCGAGAGCAACGGTTGTATCCGTAGCTGCTCCGGTCTTAATAGTGGTACTCGGAGCGACCTCAACTTCGATTAGAATAACGGGGGCAATAACAGCATCCTCAGCAGTCACACTTGGTTTAGGGTGTGATCTCGCACGAAGTCGAGATAGTGGAACATCATCCTCAGACTCTGACTCTGTGTTAACTCCAATTGGTTCGATGGGAGGATGTAGGCGTCTAAAAATGCCTATGGGTGCCCGCACACAGCTCAAGACAAAGAGAAGGTGATCAACGTCGTTATCCGAATCAAAGAGGATTATCCAACGCCGACAAGCGCATAAAGCGAATCGGCAAACTGTTGATGACACGACAACGAACCACCACAATGGAAAACGCCAAGTGGACCGCACGCGTCAATCAACATGCGTGCGTCAATCAACACGTGTGTGTCAATCAACACGCGTTCGACGGTCAATTCCGCAACGAAGCGTACAAGTCAACAAGACGATCAATTACGCAAAACGGTAGAAAATACAAGTTCTGGAAAGACCAGAAAACACCAGAGCTCAGCAAAGATTCGAAACACCGCGTCCGCGCGGGTCGGACCGCGTCGACCCGCGCCCGCGCGGGTCGGCCAAGTCCGACCCGCGGCGGCGCGGGTCGGACAAAGCCGACCCGCGCCCACGCGGGTCGGCCAAGTCCGACCCGCGGCGGCGCGGGTCGGACAAAGCCGACCCGCGAGTACCGCAAAGTTCACCCCACTTTTAAGTTTAATAACCCAAAATTTTATTTTGCACAAAGAACACCCAAAGTTTTTAGAATTTTAACAATAAATTAAAAAAGGAAAACCTTGCAACAGACTGATGTACGGCCAAATGGTGGCAATGAAGGCCTGAAACAAGTCAGCAAACTCTCTTGTAGGGGTGAGCACGGTTCGGTTCGGGTCGGTTTTTATCAAAATTTGAACAACCGAACCGAACCACCTACAATTCAAAACCGAACCGAACCATTACAAATCGGTTCGGTGCGGTTCGGTTCGGTTTGTTCGGTTCTAACTTCATCAAGTATAACTTCACTTCAATTTATCTTTTATATATTATTATTACCCTATGCCAACATTATTTGTTTTTTAACTTCACTTCAATTTATTATTCTTGCTCATGTATGTATACTGTTTTTAAGTGAAGTAACTTGTCCTTTTGAATTAAATACTAGACTCTGACGTTGTAATTTTTTAGTAACGGACTTGCTTTGTCTTTGTGTAGCAAGCTTTGAGTTTGGTCTTTGTGGAGACAAAAAAAGGAGCTGACTCATTAGAACATTGGTTATGTATGAATCAATTCCCTGCAACTGCTATCATGGTGATCGAACACAGTAATAAACCCACAAATCAAAGGCACAAATATATTCGGTTGGTTCGGTTCGGGTCGGTTTGAAAAATTGTCAACCCGACCCGAACCGCCTTACTCATAAAACCGCTTTTTTCGGGTCGGTTCGGGTCGGTTCGGTCGGTTTTTTCGGTTTGAACCCAACCGTGCTCACCCCTACTCTCTTGGACCAACCACCGACGAAGACGAGGATGGAGAATGGCAGCGGACAGAGAATCTCAAAATGGAAGAATTATTCACTTGGGGCTTATTTTTATTGGGTGGGTATTTTTGACTTTGGGACTGAACACCGTAACAGGGCTAAATTTAACTCTAAAACTTTGTCGTATATTTTGGGTAAAATAAAATTTGGGTATTTAAGTGTAACTATCTATGTTGCCTTTATTTACCTGGGTAAGCCTGAAGGGCACCAACTCGGGCTTCTCTAGTTGCAATCCCTTGTCAAATAAGCAGCTAAAATCAACATGGACACAATCACCAGAGGTGGAATCAAACAGAATGTTCTCCCCATGCCGATCACCAAGCCCGACAATGTGCCCGACCATTGACCACACTGCAGTAGTATGTGCATAAGCTAGCCTCGCACGAAACCAAGCAGCTGGCTCCGAGAATGTGGTCAAGAACCACTTGTGGAAAACAGGAGGAAACATTGGAAGAATCTTTGACTTTAGCATCTCATCTTCAGGCATCTTTCCCTGGCACTGGTCATATATTCTCTTGATCATTGGGTTTGTCTTTTGGCGATCAAATTTTCCACAAGTTATATAGATGTCCTGAAGGATGTGCCGAAGCGACCCGCCAATTTGCAGGTCACTCTAATCCGACCCGCCAATTTGCAGGTCACTCCAATCCGACCCGTCAAAACGCAGGTCGCTCCAATCCCGATTTGCAGGTCACTCCAATCCGACCCGTCAAAACGCAGGTCGCTCCAATCCGACCCGCCAAAACGCATGTCACTCCAATCTGACCCGCCAATTTGCAGGTCATTCCAATCCGACCCGCCAATTTGCAGGTCACTTGGAACCGACCTTCCAAATCGCAGGTCACTTGGATCCGACCTTCCACTTTGCAGGTCGCTTGGATCCGACCTTTCAAATCGCAGGTCACTTGGATCTGACCCTCCACTTTGCGGGTCACTTGGATCCGACCCTCCACTTCGCGGATTACTTGGCCAACCCGTCGGTCACTTAAATCTGACCCGCGCCAGGGTCGAGACAGAAGACGTTCTGCACCGGTTACGTTGATCCCTTCGAGTTCCGCACCTCTGGTGGAGCCCCACGACAACATGGATTCGTCCCGATTCAAGGTGAGGATAGTTGATCGCCTGGGTCCTTTGCACGATGATCGAGGCAAAGTTCTGAGCAAAGAACGTTTGGGTCTGGTGACTAGGGGTGCAAAGTGGTCCGGATTTATCCGGACCGACCGTTACCGTATCTGTTTAGAAAGCGGATATGGTAGGAAAAAATTAAAACCGGTCGGATACGGTTTCGGAAACGGTTATGGTTTCGATTTTGTATCCGGATACGGTTTCGGATACGGTTATCGGGTCAACATTGCGGATACGGTCCGGATATCCGGATATCTAAAATGAGTATACTACTTCTATTGGGTCGGGTCTATAGCATAAATCTGCAACCCGACCCAAATTAACTCAAAAAACACCAGAACCCTAAATCCTTTTCAATTCCCAGTTTCCCACCCGCCTCCACCTCTAAGCCGACTCCAAGATCCAGTTGTGCGTCCGCCTCCCTCTCCGCCTCCAAGCTTCGACTGCGGCTGCTCGTCGCTTCTGGCCGCCTTAATCCCTCACCCGAGATCCAAGTCAGCACCGGCAATGCGTCCCGCGTTGCCTCCGCGTCGCGCCTCCACCTCAGCCTCAGATCTCCGCCTCCAACTCCGCCTACTCCTCCGCCTCCCGGGTCCGAGCTCCACCTACTCCTCCGCCTCCGGCGTCCGAGCTCCGCCTCCCACCCCGCGTTCAGTGAAGAAAACAATGACTTCTTCTTCTTCTTCCTCATCGAATCAAATCCTTCGTCCACTCTACTCCTTTGGAATTCCATGGCCTGAGCTCAATGAAGGCGTCTCTTACATCGACATCGTCAAATCGACTCTGGTGTCTCTCTTCTCCTCTCCTTCCTTTATTTGCTGCCATTTTTTAAAAAAAAAATATTTCCCCCTAATTTTTTTTTGCAGGAAAGACCCTAATCGAGCTCTACTCCTCCAAGTACAAGAACTCCGCTCCATTGCAAGTTTTTTTTGCAGGAAAGACCCTAATCGAGCTCTACTCCTCCAAGTACAAGAACTCCGCTCCATTGCAAGGGTAAATTTGTTTTCAAATCATTAAGTTTTCTTGATTTGACGGCGTTTCTCGATTGCGCGCTAACTGTTTGTTTCTTTGTCTGAACCGGTGAACAGTTGGATGCAGAGAATTAAGAAAGGGCAGGTGCGTTGATTATTGAAGATTTGCAATTTATTTGGGTTTTAGCCTTTGTGGCTCTGACTATTATTATTTTATTGTTTTTTAAAGATTACAGTCGATGGAGATGTGGGTTTTAGTCTTTGTGGTTTTGAGGTTTGTCATACAAGTTAGCAACAAAGTCTATGAGGTAACTTGTCTTACTCGACTTACTTTGTATTTTTTGCGAGTTATTAAAATCATATGTATTTTTCCTCATATCCTATTCATATCTATTTCTCAAATATCCGATTAGTATCCGTATCCGAACCGTACCCGAACCTCTAATATCCGAACCGTATCTGTTTCCGTTTAATGCGGATATGGTAATGTTTTTTGCTTACCGATGAATATCCGAACCGTATCCGTATCCGTTTTCAGAAAGTGGTTATGGTTATGGTAAGGGTCATATCCGAACCGTATCTGAACCGAATGCACCCCTACTGGTGACTGAACCCCGAGCAACTCGTCGAGCTGGGGGTCGCACACGCCCTCTCAACAATAACAAGCCTTCTTATAAAAGGAAAACTTCAGTTTCCACCCGTCTGGGGGTGTGTATGCAAAACCAGGAGCCTGTTGAGATCTTGCGCTCCTAAAAGTGTAGTTCTAAACATGTGACTCTTGAGAACGCTGATAAAGCGGCAAATCCCCTGAAAGAAACGTATTCATCTGACGATGACAACGTTATACTTGGGGAGTGGTGTCAACGTACGATAGGTTGCTCCGATCATCTGACCGATGAGTTGTACTATCGGGCTGGGGGTATGAACAAGTCTCGGAAGAGATATACCCGAGAAACAAAATCTCACTGCTCGTGCGTCGAACTTATCAGGGCAGTATTATCAGCGTGTAGCTGCCCCAAGACCACTCCGCAAAGGGTCTCGGTATTCGAGAGGAGCTCCAATGGAATAGCTAAGTCCAGACCAAAACGTCTCCGTAAGAAGCGATCGGCTGTTCATAATGACGAACTTCCAGAAGTCACAATTAACATGGCTGATAAGGGAAAGTCGATTCGACCTTCTAGTTCCACTAGACGTAGGGACTACCAAAGAATGCAGAGAGGTTTATCATCGGATGATGAAGCATCAGATGCTAACTCGGTAATCGCTTCTGATAATACGGTATCCAGTCCGGGACAATCTCACGAAGTGTTCATGATCAACACCGAGCAGGTAGCCAAAATGGTTGAGGATGCCTTGGCCAAACAGAAAGAGGCATTCAAGATCGAAATGGAAATGGCTATGCGGCGGATGAGGGAAGAACATGACCAACAAATTCGGTCTTTGTCAAATCAGCTAGGTGAATCCAGTCGTCGCAACAATGTTAGCCAAGCAGTTAGCGATTCAGACGTGGATGAATATATCAATGCTGATGAACCTCCCGTTGATCAGAACACTGGGGATGACTCCACTAAAGATAACAACGCTGGGGGTGGTTCTACCGAAAATGACAATGCTGGGGGTGGCCCCGTTATTCCTCTTAAGAATCGTCCAAAGCCCGATACGAGCGAGGATGAGAAAATGAAAGATCTCGAGAGTAAAATCAACGCTCTAATGTCTGATCGAGAGGTAAAGAGGACTGGCATTCCATGTCCATACCCAAGAGAGTGGGACACAATAGCATACCCGGCGAAGTTCAACTTGATTAACTTCACGCCGTTTGACGGGAAGGGTTCACCCACTCAACATCTGATCTACTTCAAGTCCCACTTGGGTATGATCTCCGGCAATGAAGCCTTGATGGTTCGGTCATTCGTTGGTACCCTTCGCGGGCCCGCCTTCGATTGGTACCGCCGTCTCAAGCCCGGAAGTATTAACAACTGGGACGATATGGAGAGCTCATTCCTTGGCAGTTTCTTTGATGACGACGATGAGGTATCCATCAGGACACTTTTCGATGAGAAGCAAGAAGATGACGAGACAGTCGACGACTTCGTCAAGCGCTTTCGGAATAAAGCAATGAACTGCCGAGATCTGATCACGGAGGACTTCATCCTCCAGACATGTCATAACAACCTATCTATTGAGATATTAGAAGTTATGGGAGTCGCACCGTCCAACACTTGGAAAGAATTGAAGACGCGCGGAGAGCGAGCCGAACGCTTCCTCCGAAGGAAGAAAGCCGAGAGGAGCCAACCAACGGGGAATCTTCCGAACTCAAACTTCACCCAACACTTGGAAAGAGTTGAAGACGCGCGGAGAGCGGGCCGAACGCTTCCTCCGAAGGAAGAAAGCCGAGAGGAGCCAACCGACGGCGAATCTTCCGAACTCAAACTTCGATCTGAGACTCCAAAAAGAGTACTCCTTCAAGGACGAAGATGTTGCAGCTATTTTCGAGTCCCTCCTTGAAAATAACAAGATTAAGCTACCACCTATCCCAGATCAGGAGGAAGCTGATAATACTTCAGATCCGAAGTACTGTGCGTACCATAGGAGGATCCTTCATCCTACCAAGGCTTGCTTCGCTCTTAAGAATAGCATCCAAACCTTGGTTGAAGCCGGCGTTATATCGCTCAATTGAGCCGAATGAACACTCCGACAAGTATAAAACTGGTATATGAGGTTAAACTGCTCCTTGATACTCCAATAGGTATATGAGTCTAAACTGTTTCCCACACTTGACGGGAAGTTCATGGAGAATTTTTACATGTAATATTCTTAAGGATAACCTGGTCATGTAACTCACTATGATGTTAGACCCAGTTTCGCGAAGGAAGATGGGGGTGGATGATTCATGTAACGGGAAGTTCCCGAAAGAATTTTTACATGTAATTTTCTTAGGGATAACCCGATCATTACAAACAAAATGATAAACACTAAACCCCCACTGTGATTTCCGAACACTCTTTTGCTGAGACGAGATTCGATCCCGAGGGTGGCCGTGTTATTCCTCTTTCGAATCGTCCGAGGCCCGACACGAGTGAGGATGAGAAAATGAAAGATCTCGAGAGCAAAATCAACGCTTTAATGTCTATTCAAAAGGTGAAAAGGACCGGTATTCCATGTCCCTATCCAAGAGAATGGGATTCGATCCCGTATCCGGCGAAGTTCAACCTGATTAACTTCACGCCGTTTGACGGGAAGGGTTCACCCACTCAACATCTGATCTACTTCAAGTCCCACTTGGGTATGATCTCCGGCAATGAAGCCTTGATGGTTCGGTCATTCGTTGGCACCCTTCGCGGGCCGGCCTTCGATTGGTACCGCCGTCTCAAGCCCGGAAGTATTAACAACTGGGACGATATGGAGAACTCATTCCTTGGTAACTTCTTTGATGACGACGACGAGGTATCCATCAGGATACTTTTCGATGAGAAACAAGAAGATGACGAGACAGTCGACGACTTCGTCAAGCGCTTTCGGAATAAAGCAATGAACTGCCGAGATCCGATCACGGAGGACTTCATCCTCCAGACATGTCATAACAACCTATCTATTGAGATATTAGAAGTTATGGGAGTCGCACCGTCCAACACTTGGAAAGAGTTGAAGACGCGCGGAGAGCGGGCCGAACGCTTCCTCCGAAGGAAGAAAGCCGAGAGGAGCCAACCGACGGCGAATCTTCCGAACTCAAACTTTGCCTCCCGTGGTAAAGGAAAGGCACATGCAGCGGTTGTAGACGTTAATCAGACATCGCAACAACCCCGAAGGCAGCAAAAGATTTCGGATCCGAGACTCCAAAAAGAGTACTCCTTCAAGGACGAAGACGTTCCAGCCATCTTCGAGTCTCTCCTTGAAAACAACAAGATCAAGCTGCCACCTGTCGTAAATCAGGAGGAAGCTGATAATATCGTGGATCCAGAGGTACTGTGCGTACCATAGGAGGATCCTTCATCCTACCAAGGCTTGCTTCGCTCTTAAGAATAGCATCCAAACCTTGGTTGAAGCCGGCGTTATATCGCTCAATTAAGTCGAATGAACACTCCGACAAGTATAAGAGTATAAACTGCTTCTTAATCCTCCGACCGGTATAAGAGGTTAAACTGCTCCCTGATACTCCAATTGATATATGAGTCTAAACTGTTTCCTACCATTGACGGGAAGTTCCAGGAGAATTTTTATATGTAATATTCTTAAGGATAACCCGATCATGTAACCGAATGCAATGATAAACCCAGTTTCGCGAAGAAGCTGGGGGTGGATGATTCATGTAACGGGAAGTTCCCGGAAGAATACTATATGTAATTTTCTTAGGGATAACCCGATCATTACAAACAAAGTGATAAACACTAAACCCCCATTGTGATTTCCGAACACTCTTTTGCTGAGATGAAATTTGATCACTTCATTGGATCAATTTTCCCTCACAAAACTCTCACTGGTGTTTGACGACTCATAGTCTCCCACCACAGAATCCCCCAACCGATCAGACTAATTGACAGTGGGACCACCAAAATTCTTTCCTGTTTAATCCATTCAAACTTTCGCTATGTTCGTGCACTCAACACTTTCATGGTTAGAGTCCGGATATAATGCTTAGAATTTTAATCTGTCAATCCTTGATGAATTGTCAAACCCCTTTGCGTTAAGTCCTTATCACTTAACACCAGGAACCCCATTTGAGTGATTTGTACAAGTCAACACCCCCACTATAATTTATACTCCCACTCCCATTTGGTCAAACCTTCTTACAGTTAGGACCACAACCAAAATCTCCTCTCGATTCCTCTAATGAACGAGAGATCCACAAATCGAGCGGTCAAACCTTCCTACAGTTAGGATCGTCTCAAACATCCCACTCGGTCAAACCTTCCTACAGTTAGGGCCAAATCCAAAATCCCCTCTTGATTCCTCCAATGAACGAGAGGTCCACTTTCAAATCGAGTGATCAAACCTTCTTACAGTTAGGATCACCTCAAACTCCCCCTTTGTCAAACCTTCCTATAGTAAGGACCAAAACCACAATTCACTCTCGATAAACAAGAAACTCACCTTTAGTTCGATAATCAAACCTTCCGACAGTTAGGGTTATCCCAATCTTTTCGATTCTCGGAATGGAGATCCCACTCCTAGTTTCACCTTTCCGGATTCTGGGGGTGGAGATCCCACATCGAGTTTCCTTTCCAACTGGAGATAGAATATAAAATTCTTCCTCGTCAGCTTTGGGAGATAGGATATAAAATTCTTCCTCTCCCACATCGGGTTCGTCTTTGCCCCAGGAGAAG